TGTGGTACCACACTATCTTTGAGCTTGCAGGTGATCAATAACTTTGGTATTAATGATGCTACTTCACTGGCTGGCTCATACCACAACCATCTACCTTCTCTCAAGAGCTAAGTCTCTGCAGAAAAAAGTACTTTTGTTCTTCTCACCTCCTCTTCTATTTGCACAGAGTGGAAATATTTCTTCTGTGCTGGTGACCAGTTGCCTCATTTCTTATTTCTTGACCCATGGTCTCACAATGGTTAATCTTACTGACCCACAGCCTTATGTAATTTTGTTCTGTCCTTGCTCATTTTCACCCCATGACATAACACTGCAATTGAGTAAAATACAGGTAGACTTGAGACACTACATCCAGCCATCCTAGAAGCTGTCTACAGTGACTGAGGATCTCAAACATGGCCCTGATATGCCAAGAAACATCTTACCAATGTATCCTCAGGTGTAGTGCTGTCAATAGACAATGGGAGTACTCAGAAATCTGATCTCCAATGTATCCATGAGCTCCCTCTTACATAAAGAGCTGTGTGAATACAGGCATGAAAAATATTAATCTTAGGTTCCTTAGGAATAGTAACAAGTGGTGAAATTTCTGCTTCCTTACTAGAGTCAACACATCAACTGAATATCATTTTTAAGATTTATGTTTATAGGAATTTTGTTGACACAATTGTGTAGACAAAGGTCATTATTTGAACATTAAAAAAATAATAGCTTTGCCATTAAACTGTTTTTTGGTGTGTTTGATATCTGCTATGTCCTACCCAATGGTAAAAAAAATAAATTAAAATGATCCCCTGAATTTTGTTTGTTGATAATTCCCTAGATAAAAATTTGGTAATTTTATTAAAATAAGGGATAAAATTATTTGAATTTATGAACTCTGAATTTTAGGGAATAAGATAAAGCATTCAGAATGCTAGTGGTGGCATGGTATTGAAAAAAACAAACACATTCAGATACCATAGTGGTAACATAAGAAAAGCTTCCATTTTGCCTGCACTGTACTTAAAAGTATTATTTCTATTCCAACAAAAACTGAAATTCTTCCTTTAAACTCTGAATTACAGTAACCATTTTACACACAGGGACATGACATCTTTTACTGAAATATTGAAAACATTGCCCATTACCAAAATAAAACTGGGTTATTAACCATATTTACCAAAAAAGAATAGATCTTACAGAATGATAGGAATTTCTTTAATATTATCATTTACTGCAAAAATATAGGAAGATTCTAGCAAAATATTGGATTTTTCTGTTAGTGGAAATTCTATAATTTTGGGCAGTTGGTTTTTTAAAATCTTTTTTAAACTATATGAACTCAGCTGTTTTGAATGAAAAATATTTTTTGATCATGCTGAAGTACACTTACAGCTTATTTACTATTGCAAGTTAAATATTTATGTTACCATTTGAGTCAAAACAAAGGGAATTGTGGTAGCATAAAGCTATAGCATTTCTTTTTTTTTTTTTTTTTTCATTTTAACAGCAGCCTTAATTCTTAAACAGTTACAGGTCTCTGATGTTTGGCATATCAATATTTTATTGGTAAAGGTGTGCTGTACAAAGCATAAAAACTTTATATACTCCAAGGGCAAATTACTTCCTTTCCCTCTAGGGAATAGTTTATTTTTAATGTAGCTCTTCAAGGGTTTTAATTCTTCATGGTTCTTAGGCAATTTTGAATTACAACATACATATTTAATAGTAATGACACCCAAGGAAATATTTTCTGTGGTGGAGATAATACATACACATTAATAGTAAAATATACAAAGAAATACACAAAGAAAAATCTAAACCCATCAACTAAAAGGACATACACAATGCTTACTGACCTATAATTAATTATAGTTATATAGTATCCGCTGCTTTTCTTATCAGACTACAAGCTCACCTGGATTGTCGTGAACTATTCAATTAGCTCATGAGCACAGCCACTGCACAGCCACCTGCTTGCTGCCCCTGTCCTCACACCAAAGACCTGTCCCTCCAGAATGAGACTCCCAAACCATACTAATTCTCCATCAGCAGACCCTTCCTTGCAATGCTACAAGCTCACCTAAAAACTGCACCCACAACCAACCATCCAAGCACCTTGAGAATATTCACTTCATTTTGCTTCCACCTGCACTATTCTCACAGTAACTTAGTGTATGGCACAGGTATTTGCCCCTACAAGCAACATTTCCCTCCATGAGTCAACACAGCCCCTGCAGGTACCTGCCTGCAAGGTTTACAAGCTCTACAGAACCCTCCTCAGCTCCATTATCACTGTCCTAGGGTGACGTTATGGTGTTTGTATCTCCAATCGTGTGTTCTCTTTATGCTTGGTATTATGTCCTGTGCTTTCAGGACTGACTCTGAAAGTGAAGCTTTGTTTTGTCTTGTTATCAGCCGGCTCACCTCCCCCATGGTCTGTGTTTAGGAGCGGCTTAGCTCTGCTTGCTGTTAACTTAGCTTTGCTCGCTTCTGCTTTTCTTTTCTTTTCTTTTCTTTTCTTTTCTTTTCTTTTCTTTTCTTTTCTTTTCTTTTCTTTTCTTTTCTTTTCTTTTCTGTTTCGCTTTGCCCTTGCTTTTGCTTATTAGTTAGTTAGTTCAGCTAGGCAGTCCAATTTTTTCCCTGGACTGTTTTTTTTTCTTTTCCCCCCTCTCCCTTTCCTGGATACCATCTGAACCTGTTCCGGACGGGGACCTGGGAAACACCAAGAAACACCGGGAGTCTGCATTCTGTCACCTGCAGCAGTCATTCCTCAGCCCCGGAGACTGATAACTGGGCGACCACTCGCTGGAGAGACTTTCTGAGTTTGTCATCCTTTCAGAGCGGTGAAAGAGTTTTTTTGTCAGCTGGTGTTGGGTTTTTTTTGTGCTGAGGAGTGTTTTGCTTGTTAAATAAACAGGGTTTTTTTCCACTCCTCTCTCAGGAAATTCTTCCCGAACCCGGGAAGAGTCGTGGCGGTTTGCTTTCTGGGGGCTCCTTTCGGAGGTTTTCCCCAAATTTGCCCTAAACCAGGACAATCACTCATTTCATGAATGCTGCCATATGCCATTGCCTGCCACACTGCCCTGACAACAAACTGATAAATACAGCATGCATCCACTGATGAGACAAAGCTTTCAATTCTCCTGTCCTCCCAAACACAGGTCCCTTTCTTGCAAAGCTGCAAGCCTATGGGAACTCCTGCTGCCCCAACCATCCCACACATAGCTTGTGAGTGCTGTAACAACACTGACACAGCAAATTGAAGCCCAGCAAAATTATCAGCCACTTTGTAACAAAGCTATTCCACCACGCACACTATCAAGTACGTTTTCCTGAGAGAACTCGTCCACCTAGCACAAACCTCAGATTCCCTGGATAAAGCTCACAAGCACCACCATACACTATTGTCCCATATAAATGGTTCCTCGTACAAATTAAATCTTAGCAGGGGCAAGACCCTGGGATAAGGCTCTTACAGCCCCTTCATCAACAGATCTCTCAAGGCTGTGAGTCCACAAGAAGTCCTTCCATTTACCTGATTTCACACTTGGTTCACGAACACTGTTAATACCATGAGCTCCCATCATCCTCACTGGCCTCATAGCACCTGGAATTTCATCCCTCCCAGGCTGAGGTCCCCCTGCTCAAATCAGTCTCTTCTCACAAGGCTACAAACAAAAGAGTGAATTTCAATCTCCTCTTACTTGGCACGAGTACGTTTGTTCTCACAGCAAATGGAAACATAGAAAACGTATCTATTGTTCCAGGACATGAATGTGGCCACCGCTGTCTGCTTAGGTCAAGGCTGAGGAACCAGCAAGGCTCACAGATATTTCCACCCCTGAGCTGCCTGTGCCCCCAGCAGACTCCCGGCACAGCAGCCCCGGCTCCGGACAGAGCCCCAGGCTGTCCCGGGCACTCCTGCAGGCAGACCCCTTTGCACCCAACCTACGGCCTTTAGCTGAGACAGAGAAGCTTCAGATTAGGTATTGGGGAAAATTTCACTGTCAGGCATTGGAGTAGGTTGCCCAGGAGGTGGTGGAGGTGCAACAGGAGGTGTCCGAGTCTGGTGCACAGTGATGCGGTTTAGAGGTTTAGGGTTCACAGTGGCAAGTGCCGGGTGAATGGTAGGACTGGACGATTTTAAAAGGTCTCTTCTAACCTTCATGGTTCCATGATTGCATCCATGCAGCACTTAGAGCAAAGTAGAGACTAAGACATGCAGCAGCACCTTGCAGATGAGGGTCTCCCACTCCCCGTGGCACCAAATCCACACTCTCAGGAACACGAGCTCCGCAAGGCACCTCCTGACCACACACCCCTCCCGGCCCACGGCTGTCCTCACACCGGGCACGGCGTCCCGAAGCGAGGCTTCCCACCGGCCCGCGATCCTGCCAGAGATTTGGCACCATTGCGGTTGAGCCGAACCCGGGGCAGAGGCTCCGCGGTGCGGGGCTCCCGCACGTCCTCCCCGCACAGCCCTGCGGGAGCGGCCCCGACCGCCGGCACCGCCGGCACCGCCGGCACCGCCCGCACACCTGCCCGGCGCCTCCGGGCGCTGCAGACCACGCGGGGAGATGGTTTAGGGACTTTTACAGCAAGTAGCAACAACAAAAGGATTTAAAGTACTTGATACTCTTAGCGCATCTTTTACCCTTTCCTCAAACCCCCTTCCTCCCCTCCCGCTGTCCCTCAGTCAGGAGTCCCCGCGGACCGAGCGCTGCTGTGTCTCAGTCCCCCGGTCCCGGGAGGGAAGGACAGGCCAACACTTCTCGGGAGCCGAGAGGTGAGGACAGCTCTTCTTCACCCCGATTCCCCCTTCCTGCGCCCCGCCGGCTGCGCTCCGCCACGGGCCGGGCGGGCCGGGCCGGGGACTCCCGGCTGCCGTCACTCGTGCCCCCGGAGCGGCGCGGGCGGCGGCAGTGACGTCACGCGGCGTGGGCGGTTGCCATGGAGACGCGAGCCCGCCCCGCTTTAAGCACCGCCTCGGCGGGGCGGCCGCGGTCCCGTGACGGAAGTGAAGATGGCGGCGGCGGCGTCGGACCTGCTGACGGGATGGTGCCTCTTCGGCCTGGCGCTGCTGGTGAGAAGCGGCTCTCCGGCCCTGCGGCGGCCCCCTCAAACATCCCTTCTCCTCCCCTTCAATGGGCCGGCTGCTACTCCCTCTCCGGCCGCTCGCTGTTCCGGTGCTGGGTATCCCGCCCGGTCTCCTCGCCCGTGCCCCTGAGCCTGCCCCGGCCGCGAGCGCTGCCCTGCGGCTCCCGCGGGTGCCTCGGCGGTGCCGCAGAGCCGAGCCCGCAGCTGGGAACGGGGGCTGCCTTGCCCTCCTGCCCGGCGAGCCGCGCTGTTTGTGTGTGTTCCGTGTGTGAGCGCTGGTGTTGCTCAAGCTGCTGTTAAGGAAGAGTGACTTTTGTGTGGTCAGTATAACGCTGGTGCTGAGTGTTCAGGTGAAAGGTGTGTTGAGGCTATGCCAGTAGAGGGTCTAACATCAGTACCTGCTTGCTGACATTGTTATTATGCAACTTATAAGTATTTTCCCTGTGTATTTCAGGTCATTCTGATTTTCTGCTGGGTTTATGTTCGCAAGTATCAGAGTCGGCGGGAAAGTGAAGTGATTTCTACCATAACAGCAATTTTTGCGTTGGCTGTTGCTCTTATCACATCAGCACTCCTGCCAGTGGACATATTTTTGGTCTCATACATGAAAAATCAAAATGGTACATTTAAGGTATGGACTTTCAGAAATGTTAATTGCCTCTTCAAAGCAAGCACTTACGTTTCAAAAGGGTGCCCTTCGGTTGTCAAAGTGTTTGAAACCAGTGCTAATACCTATTCGACTTTTCTCAAAGTTATGCACTAGTAGTGTGCAAAAAACACTCATGTCTGTATTTGAACTGGATTTCAGTTTTGACTCCTCGTCTTTCTCAGATATTCTAATTTCCAAATGCTTGTTCCTTCTGTTATGTGTAAAAGTGAATGTACTGTCCTGAAGATACAACAAATTGTTTAAGTGTTGCTTTTTAGTGTATCATGATGGAGCGTTGTAGAATAAAATTTGTTATACTTTTGTTAAAAAATAGACTGTGTTGACCCTTTGTAATTTAGCATTATTTTAATTGTCTTTTTTGTCAGCAAAAAAAAAATGGTACTGGAACATGTAAAGATTTATCAAGTTTTACTGTGCTAATCTACCTATAATTTAAAGCCTTTATTAGTAAGCATTTTGAAAGCTACAGAAACCTTTAGTGGAAGAGAATGCAATAGTATCTCTTCTTGGCTGATAAAACTAACTGCATTTATAAACTGTAGGGGGTTGGTATGCGAAATGAGTTCCTAATAAGATGCTGTCATCTGCTCTAAGTATTTCTGTAAGAGATCTTTCCAATACTTCAAATATTACTTTAATTTTCAGGAAGAGTTCTTGAAGGCATTGGCCTGATGTCGTTGTGAGGACATTGTGAGTTACAAGAGACTGAACAGGAGCACGTAGCTAACTTGAATAACGGCTTACTTGGGTTTGGAGCCTGGCTGGGTCTATAGTAAAAGTTATGATCCTGAAACAAGTGATAGAGCAGGAGAGAGGTAAATGCCTGCATACCAGACTGTGTTCCCTTCCAGTCCTACTTCCAAAGGAAGATACTGGTCTTGTCAGATCTGTATAATGCTTCAAAGCTAGCTTGCAGCTAATACAGTGCTTTTTGGCTGGTGCTTATATAAATGCATGTTATGAGAAGCCTTCAGAATTGAGATGTTATGTGTTTTTTGTCATCTTTATTGCTCAGGGTTAATACAGAATAAATTAAGCTGTCATTCAATGTTATTCTGAAAAGTTTGTGTTTTCAGACCTTACTTGTTTGGAATTAAAGTCATTATAGAAGATGGAAGAGATTTTCATGTGTCAGGGTTCTAGCAATTCAATGAAAATAATAATCTTAATATCTAGAGAAATAACCATGATGCAACTAGGTCCAGTTCAAAAATGCACATCTAGTGGGGACTAAGCAGAATTCCCTGTTGCAAAGGGCACATTTTAGCTAATGTATACTTTACCTGATTAGAAACAAATCCGTGAGAACAGGGTCATCAAAGGTGGTCATGCAGCCACTAGAAATTTTTAATTAAGGAAATACAATTACTAGAAGGAAAACTACTTATAATACTGTTTTTCATGGGCTAGAATTCCTTGTTAATGGACATATGCTGTGATATGGTGAGATGGGTAGATTCTATTGAAAGCTTGCTCTCAGTACAATTTTTTTATGTCTGTGGTAAAGCCTTTTTGTAAAGTACGTTTTTGCCTTTGTGCTTTGGAGGCTTCTTCGTCCTGCTAGTTCCTAATATCTGTAGATATTTCTCATGGTTTGTTGAAATACAATTGCTCCATACTGCCTTGAAGAAGCATTCTTATTTATCTTTTAAGTCTCAGCTGAATTGGGTTTCTAGCTTTGTGGAAATAACATGAGTTCTATTGACATTAATGCATTTGATCTAAACACAGGTGTAGAAATTATGGTATAGAAATATTAATGTGGCCTTCTAAGTTGAGTGAATCTGAAATCAGTCAGAACCTACAAACCTATAGGTAGACACAGCTTCATTGATTTGGTATTTTCAGTTTAGAGGTAATGTTGAGGTAGGAGATTGACAACATCTTAAAATGAGGCACATGGTGTCTTTCACAGGACTGGGAGTGGTGATCCTGATGGTCCCTTCCAACTCAGCATTGTCTATGACTCTGTGGTCTTTGTGAATTGTTAAAGCTTTTAAACTGTCCTTGATAACGTGCTTCTTTCCTGCTATTGCTTCAAAGTAGGATAGACTGAATTGTGTTTAGAATATTTCCTGAAGGTTTTCTGGCCTTTCTCTGGACCATTCTTTCAATTCCAACACTTTTAAGACCTTATAACTGATGCTGGGGTTTGAAGTACTATGACTCTGGCAAAAAGAACAGCTCTTCATTGCTTTGGATGGGCAGAGTGAGTTGAGTCTTTAATCTTCTCAGTGACTTTTTGAGGGAGATTCAGGTAGCAGATGTGGATAATATTCTCTGTAGATAAATTAGTAGTTCATCAAAAAGCTTTCGAACTGGATGATTTTAGAGCTGATGCCAAAATAGTAGTGGCATTTATCCAGATTCTAAGTAAGAAATTTTTCTTCTGTATGTATGCTTTTTCTCTACCTCCCAGCTGTAATTCCTGGTATCAATGTTGAGAGTTATGACTAACAAGGGTACTCATCTTGAAAGTGGTACTATATGTGGACTTTCAGTTCATTTTTAATGTATCTGACCCTACTGTCAACTTGTAGATATAGCTGAGGGTTTACAAGATGAATAAGCTTGTAGCAAACTTGGGGAAAATCACTTTATACTAACAGTAGGGGTTAAATTCAAGGCTTTGATGGTTCAAGTTGTCTTTGTGAATTGTGTGTATTCTGTGACGAGGGAAGGTGGTATGTTCTAGCTACAAGGATTGGCTGAACTGTAATACCCAAGCAGAGTATCTTTCTCTGAAGGCTATGAATATTATGCTGCTTTCTGGAGGAATTCACTTTAAAGTGTTGTGTAGCCCTTTTCTGTCATGTGTTCTGAAGTGCCTCCCTTGACAAGGGCTGTGTGCTATGCCTTGGTCAGCCTTGTTAACTTGAGGTTTTGTTCATTTTGACAGGACTATTAAGATACTTATTATACATGTTTCAATTACTGAACATTATTGTTTATGGTAAAAAAGTGGCTTGTAGCATTTAGCACATAGTGGTGTATCTCACCATATTTTGCAACTTATCAAGTATTACCTTAGAGGGAACTGAGTAGGTTTGGTATTGGTAAGTTTTGCACATTAGTTACACAGTAGAATTCACTGCAACACACCTTTTCTGGAGGGTGGGATTACTTTGATTCATAGTATACTGTTAAGTAGGAAAGGAGGCTTTGGCTTAATACTAATGAAAACTTGAGTATTACCTTGTAAGTGAAGTCCTGATAATGATCAACAGCACCACTTCAGCTCAAAGATTTTGGCTGTGAGCACTGTCAGTGCTTTAGTTTCTTTCAAAAGACTTCAAGTACATCCAGTTGCATCTGATCTGTTTGATCTGAAAACTTGTTTGAATTACAACAAGCACATAGGAACAGAAAACCTCACCATAGCTTAAAAACATAATATTGCTGCTGGAACCCAAGATCCCTGGGTCTGACCTACAAGTCTCATAAATATTTAAAGCATAGCTGATACTGTCTTGCAGCAGGAAGACTGCTTGAAACAAGGATGCTCACTCACATCATTGAACTGTCTTTTTTTCTTACTGTTCTAGCAGAAGTCAGAGAAGGTGATGAAACCTTTCCTTTCTGAAATGTATGAATTCTTGCTACTATATGAAGTTAAAAGCCACTGGCATTTCTTTCCATCTGATTAAGGCTGAATGTGTCACAAGCCTTGGGTATCAAAAGCCATCGTCTTAATGATGCAAAGAGTAGCATCTGCTTAATGGGAGATACTTTTTGCAGACCATTTAAGGTTTTTCACATCTTAGGAGGGTGAGAGGGGAACAACTCATTATGTTGATGCTCAGCGTATAAAACCACTAGAAGTCCAGGGGTTTTATTTTGGTGTTAACTGCAAGGTTATTATTGACTGAGATCATGCCTCCTTCCCGACTAAGAATTACTACTTATGAAGCAATAGTACTTGGCCAAAACATTGTTGCTAGGCAGGTGGGGCTGAGATGTGCATTTTCCTGGATGCTACTTTCCATCTGGCAGTCAGAATCCTAGCACTGTCCCATTTTGGAGGTAACAGGCTGAAAGATATGAGATCTGGATATGAAATTTTTTTCGTATCTAACCATGCCATGACTTGGTCTCCAGTCTTTCATACTGCATCTTCCTTTTGTTGCCTAAGGTTTGGGAGAGGCTAATCAGAAGAATGAGTGCTTCATCGTGCTTCATCTGTATTTAATGAAACATCACAGATACTGAAACCTTTAATATTGTATGACTTTAAGCTCTGTTAAGGGACATTTACAGGGAATGGGAGCTAGCTTCCCTGGGTACTCATGAAAGTCTTGCAAGGTCCAGCAGTGACAGTAGAAATGTCAAATTTAATGGGGACAAAAGATTAAAATTCATGGCTGTTCCCTCACCAAAAAGGGTGGAAAGTCAGATTAACTTGCAATGGTTTCATTTGGGGAAGTTATCTGTACAGTTTGAATAGTACTGCTCTGTTGAAGTATGTTAACATGAGTCACTAACTGGACAGAAATGTTGGGAGAAGAAAGACTCCGCTTAATGATTAATGTGGGAGAAAGTGTTCTTCATAACTAATTTTCCATTAATATTATAAAATTAATAATCTAAGGGAGCTTTGCTTTGGATTTAGAATTTAGATAAACCTAAAGTGTTTTAAGCTGCTTTTTTTTATCTTTACTTACATTGCAACATTTTACTAACATATGTCCTTTTTACTCTGGTTTTTAACATGACTTATGTTATGAAATACTTAAGCGTAAGAGTTTAGATATGGGTCATCATGCTCATTGCACATATCCTTGCAGTTTGTGGTTTCTCTTGTTTCTCAGTACAATGCATTGGTACAGGTGTTTTAAAGGTGATATATGCTCACTAAACGGCATGGAACAAAATGAAGTACAGCACAACAGTGCAGAATGCCTGAAATTCTGCAGGTCCTAACAGAATTTGTGGTCCCATTTTGACACCTTAAACTGCTTGAAGGCAGTGCGAATTTTCACCTCCTTAATCTATTGTGCTTCTAAACCATTTGCTGTAAGCTTGGGTTGTAATGGATGGAAAAGTCTAGATCTAGGGACTGTTCAAATAAGTTCTCAGCTGAGTCCTGGATGTGCTAGTTGAGTAAATTCTATACCTAGCAACTTAGTATTCACCAGAGATGCTTAGACTGTCAGAGCTCTGATAAGGTAGCAGTGCGTGCTTTTGACAAGACAATGCTGTTGTCACTAGCCTTTGAAACAGCTCAGATGAACTGGTTACTGCCTTTGAGTTGATGGTGTGTGCATGTGGATAATTTGCCAGGTAGAATTAAGTGTTTTTCTTTTTAATTTGTTTAAATGTGGGGCTTCGGCAATGACTGGAAGCTGACATTATGATATACCATTAAATTGGCCTGCATTACCTATTCTTCTTGTGCAGAGTAATGCAAAGTTTTTATGCTGAGGCAGACGTAAGTAATGGTGAAATGCACACTTGTGCAATTTTGAGTTTGTTTAGTGTAATATAGCAGCTCCCTATTTAATATGGTGTAGTGTATGTTTCCTAGCATGCTACTCTGGTCCTGTATGCAACTTAATCTAAAAACAAAATGAAAAGCAATTACAATATTTAAATTTCTACATCTGTTTTGTGTTAAAAGTGTTTTTCTGTAGCTGAAGGAGAAGCGGTTCTTGGGCAGCTAAGCCATGTTGTAGTTCCATTACTAGCTACCTCTTCTGTACAGTGGCTGTGCCTCTTAAACTTTGAGTCTCCCTGTTGCTTTTCTTGTTGGTTTTTGTGCATTTTAAATGTCTCCATTGCTCATAGGAGAAACCGTTTTTTCCAATAGCTACTTGGAATCAAGTGATGCAAACAGTCCAATTCAGCCTTGGTTTTCCCTTAGGTTTGATTAAAGTAAGCATTTTCTTAATATTTAACATGAGGCAATTTAAGTGGTGTGTGTGTTCTCTACTTATTGTAATAAATTCTTTTGTGGTGTATTTTAATACAAATGCCTAGAAATTTCTTAATTAAAATGCTGTTGGGTGTGAGCCTGGCAGTCTTCAAAGACTGAGCTTATTGTGTACCTGACACATACTTCAGATGTTGCTTCTGCTCTTTCTGCTAAAATATTTTTCATCCTTTCTTTTTGCTGATTAGATGTCAAAATAGATGTATATTTTTCTACTGAAATTCCAGCTGGGTGATGATCTAATTTAGTTCATACAGTGAATTTTAAAAGCTTAATGTAAACTGACCTCCTGGAAGTCTTAACACAGTAAGAAAAAGGAAGGTGGTGCTGATTTTTCTGAGATAGTAGAAAAACTCTTCATGGTATGTCATCAAGCCCATATTCCAGAAGCCCATATTATGCAATTCTGAGAGAACTAATAAACTAAAAGCCAAAGTGTCTTGAAGTTGTAATGGGAGCAGTTTTTAAGTAGTGTGCTCAATTGCATTTTTACATCTCCCTGTTAGTGTGTGCATCTTTACAACTAAAAGGGATTGATCTTACCGGTTTGAAGAAAGCCTGCATACAGAAGTGAAAAAGAACTTTGACAGTACTGCATTTTTTATTTTTTTTTTTACCCAATTCAATTATGTTGGTGTGTTGTCTAGCTTTTAAAGAATTCTGCTTCTGGATAACTACGTTCTTGATCTTGACCACATATAGGTTGGATCCTACAGAATTAAGACAATTCTGAAATTGCTGTAATGGCATCATTGAATAAGCTGTACTGGCAGCCTTGGGTCATTGTATTCAATCCCTGAGTTTGTCTGCCAGCCATTATGTCATAAAATATTCATATTCCTTAAACCAATAGCTCCTCTCTTGGAGGAAAGGGAGTGGACACAAAAACTTGACTTCAGCCATCTGGCTGATTGCAGTTTCCAACACAGTTAAGAGTTGTATTTTCACTTTAACTGCTTCCATTTTCTGGACCATTCACCAGGACTGAATAGTGCAGTTACTTTTGCTCTTGTTCAACTAAGGGATAAAAGTGCTTTTGGAATTTGACTTGTAAAATTAGATATTGCCAAGTTGAATATTCATGTAATTCAAGTCTTGGTCAAACAAAAAGTGAAGTCTTGTACTTCTGATAAAGGAGATGATAGCTTAAACAGATTAATAACTAATAAAAGTAAAAGTTAATGAATTATGTATAACTGAGCAGAATAAAAAGTTTTCTTATTCTTATGACTACTTACTGTTGCATCTGTATATGCAAATTTTAAACAAAGCTGTTTTGTGATGGAAATATTGTGTACATTGTGTACTTTGTTGAACTGCATGGCCCATGGTACAAGAAAGCTGTTAAAACAAGGCCACAAAAACGTTCAGAGATCTGGAACACATCTTGTGTGAAGACAGTCTGAAAGAGTTGGGGTTGTTCAGCATGGAGAAGAGAAGGTTCTGGGGAGATGTTTTTGCAGCCTTTCAATATAGAGAGGGCTTATAAGAAAGATGTAGAAACCATTTTGACCAGGGCCTGTAGACACAAAAGAAAATGTAACATCTTTAGACTGAGAGTGTAGATTTAGCTATAAATGATGGTTCTCTGGAACAGGGTTCCCAGAGGAGTCATGGATGCCCATCACCTGAAGCATTGCAAGGTCAGGTTGAATGGGGCTTTGAGCAACCTAATCTCATGACAGGTGTTCCTGCCCATGGCAGGAGGCATGTGGACTAGGTGATCTTTGAAGGTCCCTTTCAACCCAGACTAGTCTATGATTATCTTCAGACATTGTTATAAAGTTCTGTGGGAATTGGCAGAACAGAAGTGGGAGCTGCCAAAATTAGTTTATGTTCCTTGGGGTCTAAAACCTTCCTTTTGTGGAATGGTCCTACACTTAATCCTGTTTGCCTGGTGATTTTCACTGTTGCTAGCACTCCAGCATGGAATTCTTTAGAAGAAGCATTTTTATCTTGCCCCCTCTGTATCCTTTAATAGTTGATTCTCATGTAGTCTTCTTCTATTACATTTGATAATAAATGCTTCTATCCTTTATTGCTAGGTCTGGGCTGATTCTAACGTTTCAAGGCAAATTGAAGACACTGTACTTTATGGATATTACAGTAAGTATTGTAGCTTTTTTTCTTTTTCAAGTAATATGACCTTTAAGTGAAGTCATGAAGTTTTTAGAGGTCATACCGGGCTATCCCATTTTGGTTAAACAGGAGTCTTGGTACCCTTCAGAGAATATTTTTTATCTTTAAGAGCCCCCTAAAAATGCAAATATACTGAAGCCAGTTCATGAAAAGGCTAATGGTTTGTGTTATATAATCTGTGGTTCACGTGTTTCCTCTGTGTGTGTTTAGTGGTCCCTTGAGGGAAACACATGGTTTTGCTGTAACTTTTATGGCACTTAACATATGCAGCAGTGTGAAACTTGTCTACCATGTATAAAGTTCATGCAACCATGAGTGCAGCACTTTTAAGTGATCAGATTCAGCAGCTACCCTGTTCCAAGTAATGGTTACTGTGGAGGAGCATAAAAAAGTTGATTCAAAAGTGGTAATCCTAAATAGAACTGAAGTTTTAAAAAGTGACTGAAATAAAATAACTGTTTGCCAAACCTCTGCATAGTCTTATATCAGTTTTTTAGTGGTTCTCATGAAATTTATGAGAAGTTTTATGACTGATAGGTCTATGTAGTGGGCATGGAAGTGTGCTCTGCACAGTTTGAGTGAATTCAGTGTTTTGGTTAATGGCAAACTCAGAGGTGGTTGCCTGCTTTTGGTCACATTTCCAAAGACTTGGAGTTTTTTCTCTTAGAGTATTGTGGTTCTTTTGAATATAATTTTTAGATCAGGAAGTGATTTCAAATACGGAATTTATTTTGTTAAATTACATATTAATTATTGACTGCCAGTGATAGTGACAAAGTAGAATAGGCTTCACTCAGCATAAAAATGAATAGTTAAAAGTAGTAAGAAGACTTCTCTGTTTTCAAAAAGGAACTTCCAACACAGAGCTTATTCACTTTATAATAGTGGAATTAATTTGTACTTGCGTTCTGTTCTTTGTAGTTGGCCAAAGTCTTGTTCAACAGACTGAATATTTCACAACTCAAAAGGTGGGACAATCTTCAGGCTCTTCCATGGAGGAACTTTAAACACTTTTTGCTATAGATTTGTGAGACTAATTGATTAAAGAATTTCTGAAAGGTGTTTTGGGCTAGCTGAATGTTTTGGTAAATCTTGAACTAATTTTTAGAAGAAGATTTAAATTGAAATTGGGAAAGCTGCTTTTGTTTTTGGCCTTTCTGGACAGGTCTGCTTGAAATACTGTAGGACAAATGTCTTGTTTCATAGCATATCCTGCAGATGGTGGTAGAGATTTAAACATGGTTTTAAAATATCTTTTCTCTTATCTTAATTTGAGTAAGTACACTTTCTCATAGCTAGTTTTATAACTAGAGATACATTGGAGTGAGCAATAATAGTAACTTATTTTTCAGAAGTCTCCAAAAATCGTACATAAAAACACAATGCTTCTCCTACCTCATCTAGCCCCCTGCTGCTGTTGCCCAGCATAGTGACATAACAGCTGATAAAATTAAGCAACTCTTCCATTGTAATACTATTCCACTTTTTTTCTATCTTCCTAGGAAAGTATTTGGTCCTGGCTTTTTATTTTGTAACAGACAAGATGAGTAGAAGTGAGGTACCCTGTTGTCGTTAAGAACATGAGTACCACTATTTTCTTGTGTCTCCTGGAAATGGAGAGATAACTATATAGATCCTGCATGACTCCCATAGTTGTATTGACAATTTATGGTATTAATAATTGGTGCATTTAAGTCGTTGTCCTTTGATCCAAGCCACTTGTAATTGTAGCAAGGATGTTAAGTCTATGATTTAACTGATATTTTAGAATATTTATCATTATTTTGTTACTTACATTGCTTTTTACTGATAAAGCTGTAACTAAATAGAGAAGCTTTTTTTGNCCACCTGGTTTCTTGGCTAGACTGATACAAAAGTAGAAGGAATTTGTATTGGTAGAATGATAAATAAGGTACCTCTCAAAGTGAAGCTTGAAATAACTGTATCTTGAAGTGGGATTTCAGCAGCCTAAAAGCTTTTCTTAGGAAACCAGTCTAATAATTGCTTTGAAGCCATAGTGGCTTAGTGTGTTAGTATTTCTAAACCCAACTGTAATAGAACATGCATCACAGTACCTGAGTGATTGAACAATGATCAATGGTTGGCAAATGCTCTAAAAAAGTGTATCAGTTTGTTTGGAAGGAAACTCTCTTCAGAAAGTGTTATAATTGAAAAGGTTCAAACAATTAACAGTAAGCTGGAGGTGTGTTCTGTAGTTCTTTGTCTAGTAAGTAAATACTACCTGTTGGAGTCACCTTGATGTTAAGCATCCTTTGATGAACTTTTGTGAATGGTGAAAGGATATTATTGGTAGATTCTAATCTTGTAAGGTAGACCAAGATTTTGACTTGTATGGGAGTTACTTAGATGACTCTCAGCTACAGTATTGCAAGGACTGTCTGATAAATTTCATGGGATCTCTTCACATGTGCTTTGAAATCCATGCTAAACTTTAGATTTTCCATTTCCTTTTTAAGTCAGTAGTAGTATGGTGATTCCTAGGGGGAACTTTTTGAGTAGGTGTTATTACTTGGATGATGTTTACATGGAGTTTTGTCTGCTTAATGCAGATGTTTGGTAAGTCATCGACATTGAGTCATTGACACAAGAATTTGGGCTTCTAGGAATTAAGTGCAAGTCAAATATGATTTCATGTTTTTGTAGGAGAAAAGCCACTCTAAGTACTATGAGAGATTGGTAGCTGTACTTGACAAATACTGTGAAGTTACATCTACAGAAATGCTCTCCTAATTTGTGTAATTTTTCTGGGAGCAATGTGCTAGAACATAAATTGAAAATATGTCAGCATTGAAACTTACTGTGGTGAATTGCTTCAAACAAGTCTCTGACTTGAATTTCCCTACTGTTTTGTATTCTGTAACTTCCACTTAGGAATACAAAAGATTTCTTCCAGCCATGAAGAAAACTTATTTTAAAACATGTTTCATGGTTTATAAGAAAGACTGATCATAAGTTTCTAGAACTAGTTAGTGTCTTAGCAGAAAAAGTGGGAGAGTATATAACAAATCGTTGTTTAAAGCAGCTTAGTAATTTTGATGTTATGTAATGCACTAATATGATACCATCTGGAAAGGCAAGCTTTGTGTGATGTAAAACGTCCAATGATAGAATATTCTTGAGCACCCTAGAGTGTCTTAAAAGGATTTGAGGGAATATTGATCTTTGATAGTCAGCTTGAAACCTTACTAGTTGTTCTAGAAGGAAAAAGAAACCCCAACAAGTCAAAACATATATAGTAGTCTTCAAGTAATAACATGTTATTACTTGAAGACTACAAGGTATAACTTTCTCATGCTTAGTGTCTTTGTATTGATATGGTGCAAATCAGCAGGAGTAACTTGAGATAAGAGTTGTCCCTAAGGAACAGCTTTACAACAGACAAACTTTACAAAGGAGTTCTTGCTGAAGATTCCCTAGGCTGTGGCAGGAAACACTTTTGTACTGGCCATATAGTGAAGCATGCTTCCAATGGTAGTACTTCAAGCTTCGAATCCAACTCAGAAAAATGTTTTGAAACAAATGTTAAACCTCTGAACCAGAACCAAGAGCAGGCCCTGAAAGCTGAGACAATATGTTGTGCCACAATGTCACAGGGGAGTTAGGAGAAAGTATCTTTGTTGATTGACTATTTGCTACTGCAAGACCTTTGCTTTTGAAGTTTAGCTTTTCAGGGAATAAACAGCTCTTTTATTGGTTAGGACAGCAGGCAATTAGAGGTTTGCCCTCAGGTAAGTAGGATGTATGGGCTGATGAAATATGCTGCATTTCCTTTTTCATGATATCTGAAAATTGCATTTCAAAAGGATCATTTTCCTGTGTTTTGATAGGCACTTGGGCAAATCTGTGAAAGTTACATAGAATCATTGGAAAGGACCACTCAAGATCCTTGAGTCCAACTTCTGTCCCTGTGCAGAACGCCCAGTTAATGACACCATGTAAATGTAAAGAATCACACCTGAGAGAATTGTCCTGAGAATACTTCTTGAACTCTGTAAAGGCTTGATGCTGTGATCACTTCCCTAGGGAGCTTATTCCAGTGCCCAACCACCCTCTGAGTGAAGAACCTTTTTTTTTTTTTTCATATTCAACCTAAACCTCCCCTGGCACGGCTTCAGGCCATTCCCTTGGATCCTGTCACTGGTCACCAGAGTAAAGAGATCAGTACCTACCCTTCCACTTCCCCTCATGAGGATGTTGAAAACCACAATGAGTTCTCCCTTCAGTCTCCTCCAGGCTGAACAGACTGAGTGACTTCAGCCATTCCTCATCTGCCTTCTGTAGTAAAATAGAAAGCACAATCTTTTGCTTCAACTATGTGAGTTACAAATTTCATTTTCAATTCCTAGTAAAAAATGCTCACCGGCAGCTTAAAACCAGTGGTTATGTAAACAAAAAGATCTGCCTTGGGAAAAGCAAATCCAAAGCTGCCCTTTTTCTGTGCTAGTCCTGTAAGATTACTACCGAGTAATTTTTCAAGTTTTTCAATAGAGCAAATTGCAGAGCTTTTGCAATTTTAAATGAATATTGAAGTTTATACTACTGTATGTTTCAAACATTGTGTGCAATACTTGAAGATCTGTTTAATGTGTAATTCTCTAGCAGTTTAGTGGCAGCAGATGACATTTTTAAAGGTTGGATCTTGCTGGTTTTTTCTAACCTGAATGATTCTTTGTAAATAAAGTAACATGGGTAACTTTACCCGTGCAGTTCAGTCTTTTTAATCAATGTGCTTGTTTTCTTTATCACCGTGGAAGAAACACGGATCACAGTCTCATTATGTAATGAGCAAAGGGCATACCTCATGAGTAAGGTGTGCTGAATTCTGTGTAATACAACTTGGAAGTGAGGATTTTCTGTGCTTGTGGTGATCCCTATGGGCTGATTATTCTGATCTTGGACTAATGTGTGTAACTTACCTAATTTACTGGCCCATCGTGGTGTAGATTTAGGACTAGTCTAAAAAAACAGATTATAGACTAGATGTACTTGATTTCTGAAAGTATTCACAATATTGAAGTAGTATGACTACTGCTCTAGAGTGTCTAGGAAGGTTTCTTTTTAGAGTTTGAGGTTTCAAGGTGTTTTACAGTCTTGAATGTTTTGCTCTTGGCAAGTGTGAGGGTCATGTACTGAGAACTTGTTTCTCTTCTTGCATTGCCATACTAACTCAGCACACTAAACAGTAGATATCTTTAACACTTAGAATTCATTCTTTTGAAAAATGTTTCAATTTGGATATAATTAGTGATTCACATTTAGATTCTAGGTGTTGATACTTTATTTACCTTCTATACCAACTTCAGGAAAAAATGCTGAGGTAGATTTCTTTGGAGCACGTGGGCACTATGAACAGTGCAGTAGCCAAGATAAGAGGTCGCAAACTTTATTTGGGAATGAATGTATTTGTGGAAAGGTGTTAATTATATATATGTAATGTGTATATGGAAGAGTATTAGTCATGCAAAATGGGGCAAAGATGAAAAATAGCCAAAGATCACAGGACTTATGTGGTCCTGAGTACTTTTACTTATTCCTTCAAAGGTGCAATTTTGTGCTGGCACAAGCAGTCTTAGTTGTGTAGCACTTCTGACATTTTGAAGGCTTAGTAAACTCTTCCAGTGTAGTTTTTTTTTTTTTTTTTTGTGGTGTGCAAATACTGTAGCATACTGCTTCACAGTTTTTAGTTTCCTAATGGACTTCTGCAATGTTCATAGTATAAGATAATATGGAGTATTAAAAGATTTTTCTAATTAATCATATTCTAAAGCATGTTCAGTTTATAGTAAATACAGAAAGCTGAAGATTTAAGCTTGAAATTCTCTATCTGAAATTTGTCTTTTCATACCACTGCCTGATCAGTCCAGTTGATTTTGACCAGCTGTCTTAATGTATTCACAACTTGATGGTATTTGTAAAGATGTGTTAAACCTTTTGCTTTCTTATGATCACTTGTATATCAAAGTGACATGACAGTATGACTGTTTTGGTTTAGTGGCTACTCAGTTAAATATCTGTTGCAATCTGCAGTTAGTACTTTTTCTAAAAAGGGAGTATAAAGTGATAATACTATATTACTACAGCTTGTTTTGTGAATTGAGGTCAGTAACAATCATGTCTTTGATCCATGATGTATTTATGTTGATAGTAGAATCTGATACTGAGTCCAGGGATCAAAATAGCTTTAAATTAGTTTCGTTTGATATATGTTTTTTTGAACAACCTGTTATTGGGTGGCTTAGCTTGCTTTTATTCACTATGCTTTAAGCTAGTATTCTATATCACTTGCTTACAGTTGATTACTTTACTTTTTTGTTATTGCTGACTTGAAGATGGATCTGGAATCCTTAGCCCGAAAGGGTTCACTTTAAAGTCCTTTGGAGTTTACAAAACAGTAATAGTTTGTGTGCTGGCTAATGAATTTTACTAACTTTTCAATGTTTGAAAGTAAGAGCTAGAATGAGAGGAAATGAATGTTTTGGTCTTTCCTTTTAATTACTTCGTAGTAAATTAAGTGCCAATGTAACTGCCTCTTCATTTAATTCTTCCTCCTAGCGCTGTACTCCATCATTCTGTTCTGTGTCTTTCTGTGGATTCCCTTTGTCTATTTCTATTATGAGGAGAAGGAAGATGATGATGGCAACACGTGCTCAGTAAGTTTACTCTATCAAATGCACTAAGCACTGAAAAGGCAAATGAAAATAGCCAAAATATGAAAGCAAGAATTATTTTTAAACTTAGAAATGGTATTAACATTGTAATATATAAGTATATTACTATATTTCCATAGAAATCCTAGAGCAGATTTCAGTAGGTCATAGTCTGACATTGTCTAGTCTAAGCACTGTGGTCTCACATTAAATGCAACTTTAGCGAGATAAGTAATTATTGTCTGTATTTTCATTAATCCTTTAAACTTTCAAGAAATTCTTCTGAGCAAGATTTCTTACCACAGGAAGTTAAAACTTATGTGAGACTTTCCATAGAATAAAAACCATATGTAGTGACAGCTTTTTAAGTAGAGAAGAGGAAGATGGTTCTATTCTGAAATAGGTACTGAAATTTAATGTCTTTCTATTGTAGTGTTTGCATTTTTTCTTGAAGTAGGCAGTAGTAATTTACCTGAAGCTAACATGTTTACTTCTGTAATGCATTGATTTGAGACCTCCCAGGGAAACAGTAACTGCATGCCAGTAAGGTGGTACATTTCAAATGAAAATACTTTTCTGAAGTATCTTGTAATGAATTAATCATGACTGTTATCCCTTCTGTTTAGTTGTGACCTTAACATAAGAAGACTTTTAATAATAGCCTAATAATAATAATAGACTTTTAATAATATAAAGTATTAGTAGTAAGTATTTTCTTTGAGTGTATTTGCACTGAGTATATGCAGGCTTCCAGCCACAGCTGCTCAAATGCATAGCTTATGATGGAAGCAAAATTCCATGTCATTGTTCACAGCTCTCAGGCTATGAGACTCTTCAAGAATGCATGCTTATGACTTTATATATAAGACTACTCATACTTTTTATGGAGGCTTTTTGTAGAATACATGTTACGCTAAGTATACTTTTTCATAGTTTGCACAAATCCCTTTACATTCATTTTATGTCAATGTATTAACTTTCTCTTGAATATTCAGCAGGTTAAAACTGCACTCAAATACACTCTGGGATTCATCACGATTTGTGCAGTTCTTCTGTTAATTGGGTAAGTATTTGTATTGAGCACTGTTCTATGCAAGACTTATTTATCAGAGTTCTGTTCTGTGATTCTAAGAGGTAAATTATGATGCACTCAATCTGTATAATCAACATTATCTTAATCACTAATAAGACTTAAGTATCCTTAGAATTATGTACCTGAAAAGCACAGTTTAACTGGAAGATTAAAATGGTTTTCTTAATTGTGGAGGTACTTGTGCTTCCAAGCTGATGTAGTGTGAATCCATATCAAGGACATTTTGGCTTTGACACAAATACATTAATGCTTCAATGTATAACAGAGTAAAAAAATTTGTCCTCATCCATGTTCATCAAATGTTTTTTTGCCTTTCTCAAATGCTCTTTCTGAAATGAACATTGCAAAATAGCTTTTTGGGGTAATGATTAGATGTTATGGGCTTATACTTTCCTAAATGGAAATGCTGTCTGAAGAATGTAAATGTAGTGTGGGGTTATACTTGACTTAATTTTGCCTTGTATGATATAGTTTTTGCTGGCGTTTGTTTAAAAGGCAAATGTTACTGAAGTGAGTGACCTGTTTGCAGCAAGTACTGTTCCTCTCAAACTCCAAGTAGTAGCAGAAAATTGATTTCAGATCACTATTCAGTATGACATGCACACCAGTTCTGAATCTTTATAATGTCTGCTGCATCATAAGCCTTTTAGCATTTTGACTGCAGCAATAAAGTTGGTAAAAACTGCAAAATGTATGCTAAGATGATCCATATCAAAGTACTGGAGCGTGAAGTAAAAACTACAGTGAAATTAATGCTTCTAGTTGTACTAGAATATTCTTTTAGTTTTGAAAAAAGTTAAAGGTACATTTCTATCAAGTATCTTGTCCTTCTAAGTGCAAGTAAGGTATTTGCTCTTATAAGAGATGGTAGGAGTTTATTACCTTAATCATTGTCTAGAAATATTCCTAAAATTTCTGGCAAAAGCTGTTTCTGACAGTTAGCTCACGTCATAGGTATAGATAGATGTATTGTATAACACATCCGCTTTAGAAATCTTTGTAGTGTCTCTAGTAGGTGTCAGCTGAATTCTCAGTAGCTGTAAGCATGTCCATTTCTCCCTCGCAGTAAGATAGAAAAAAGTAATTTTTGTATTTCCTCTTTAAGTGAGAATGCAAGACTTCCTTCAAGGGGAAAAGGCTCTGTTTTAGAGGCAACTGAGGTGACTGTGCTGAAGAAAAATGTGAACTCTATTTCTAGTGTAGTTATATATAGATTAAGTAGCATATGTCTCAGAGTTTATGTAAATGCTTTTTCTGACGAAGTTATGTGTCTTAGGTGCTTTCATAGCAAGGGCAGGGAGTGGTCACAGAAGTCCAGTATGACAGGAAAGAGATCAACATGTTGGAGCTGAAGTTTCTATATGAGTGGTTTGATAGAATATGGTAGTGAAGACTAGTCTTGCAGTAGCGGAGCATACTCTGATCCTATAACCACCAGAGAGAAATGTTAAAATAGACTGGAATTTTATGTACTGGATTTGACTCTAGGTGTCTAGGCTTAATGGACTAGAGTGCTCCTGCACACAGGTTATGGGAGTGGGAGGGGTTGGAATATTTCCTGTTAAGTGCCTAACGAATAGTCTGTCTTCCTGTGCTTACATGGCTAGTGTTTCATAGCCAGACAGCCTCTGTTCTGATTGATTTAGGAAGCAATCTGTATGGTGAAAACAGGTCAATAAATAGTTTTAAAGGTCTACATAAGGTTTTTGCCTCTTCCCTGGTCAGCTGTCCTCAAATGAATTATGAAAGCTATATTAAGCTTAAAGTTTGAGTGTCTTATTCCTACCAGGATGCTACCCTTGCTCAACTAGAGATTGTTGTGTTTTGTGCCACATAGCCTTAGAAGCTTTTCTGACTTGATAACACAGCCCAGTGAGGAGGATGTTATTGTCCAAATTGTTATCAGGAATAGTGTTTGTACTTCTTACTTTACTTCTCTGTTACAAAACAGTTGTCTGGCAAAAATGTGCATGTCTATAACACTTAAATCCTCTGCACACAAATAACTTGATGCAGACTACCATTAAAAGCAAAGTATAGGGCAAATTTATAGGGATGCTCAGAAGTAGTTTTTACTTGTCATACCTTTCCCTTCCAATAAGCTATATACTTTGCTTGTATTTCCTCCAAATTTATTGTGCTTGTCAAGGGGCTTGAGATACTGAAATCTACATTAAGGCACTCTTAAGCAGTCTAGTATGGAAAAAAAAGGTTGTTTTTGAGGTTAATGAATGTTTGATTCCAAAATGCATGCTTCCCTGGCTGTCAGTGTTTAGAATTAAACTGGTTACCTTAAATTTTCTGGGACTATAAGCGCTTAAAAAGCTATGAATATATCTAATTATCCTATAAATAGTTATGCAAATTATGTCACAGCAGAATTCACTTAAGGAAATGAGTCTAAATCTGGTGTGCTGGAAAATAATTTCCTAAGTATGACAGCTAATGACACTGTGATTTAAGGTTCAAACTTTACCCATATACATTGGTGCATTAGCCCTGCCAAGAGTGAATAGTTTTAAACTGCTTGTCTTGCATTTACTTCCCTTGTTCTGCAGCCTAGATATTGATCTAGATTTGAATCATAATTTACCCAGGATGTGTTTTGAACAGCATAGCAATTTGCTTCTATTCTGAAAATTACCACAGTTAATAATTTGATTTGTATCCAGAACTCCAAGTATCAGACATCATAGCTGAGCTGTTTTGTTTGCTTACATTACCTAAATTTATAACTCCTGTGTTCCTTTCTGGGGCTTTTTGTGCATGGAACTTGAGCAGAATCAAATGTCTATCTTCATCAGTCAAGGTTTATCTGAGTTGTAATTTACGAGTATAATGAATTCAGTAGCTCCTACTCTGATTAGTGTCCTTTGACATGCTGGTTGTAGGTAGTCTCAGAAAAAAACCCCAAAAACCAAAACCACAAAAAACCAACCAAAACTGAAAAAAACCCATGTTGTTCTCAGGAGGAAAAAAAGCAAACAAGTTATGAATAACTTCAAATGTTCTTCCATCTTGTTTGTTCCCTGCATATGGTCCACAAATAGCAAATCCATTGTTGTGCTAAAATAAAAAGGACTTCAGCTCAGTTATGTTCTCAAATTCTCCTTTATTAACCATTTTTAGCAAATAAACCTGCAGTTATTTCTTTCTATTATTTATAAGTAGAAATATTGCCAACTTGGTTTTAATACCTGCATCTTCATTTTGTCTGGATGCTGTTTTACTGAAAGAATTGCTGCTGGAGGCAGATATAAGAACTAAATCCTAAGTCAACGAGCGTGTGTGAACTCTAAGTAAATTCGAGCCCTCAATCTGCCTCTTTCACAGTCAAGAAGTTTTTTTTAGAAATGAAAACCTTGACTTTTAAAATTTCAACTTGTATTTTTGGCAGAGTATCAGTTTGGTTTTGATGTGATGATTATATATGCACACAGTTGGTTTAGCCCTACCCTTGAGACTGGTCTTGGAATATACATATTTGTTTAGGACTTCAGGCAGGGGTCTAATTATGTAGTCTCTGTCATACAAGTCCAAATGATACCTGTGAACATGCTTTATGGACTTTGGTTTGAGTTCTTTCATTCTTTGCCTAAAGTGTTTGCCTTCAAATCTGTCTTCCTTGTAACTTGTAGACATTCTATTTCATATCTCAAAGCTACGGTTTCAGTAGTTTTTTGGTATGGAGGTACTGTTTTTCCAGCTATTACAAACTCAGCTGTTTTGTCTGTAGAGATGCTGTAGAGTTTTAGTCTTCTTAGTTGACTTTAGGTGGTGAGCCTGACAACAGAAAGCTTTCAGCTAGGCAACTGTTTTACCTGACACTTTTCTCTGAGCATTCTTCAGTAGTCTCTTGGAAGAACAAAAAAACTTAATGAACTTCTCTGCAGCTCAGTTCTCTCTAACTACAGAGCAAAGAAGGGAATGGAGCAGATGTGTTTAGTTGCAATGATGGAAGATGAGCATGTCACTGTTTTAATGCTTGTTTGAGAAATCATTAATTATTGTATTTTGACTTTCAGGAGTGTACATTTATAAGACAATTTATCTCAATTGATGCTTAAAGTTTATTTGCTCCTCTGCATATGAATCAAATCAGGATAATAAATCATATTAATATGTCTTTTAATGATACTTGAGTGTAGGGTCCTTACCTCTTTTAGGACTGGTAAATAGAAAATCACTTGTTCATTGACCTCAGACCTGACTGTACACATACACACGTGTACTCTGCTGATCTAAATGCAGCATTTGAGGAGAGTGTGAATAACGTGAAACACTGCCTTTTCTAGAATGAATGGATTTCTATTGTCTTAATTTGGAAGTAGAATTCTTCTTGTGTTTCACTAATCAGGGTAAGAAAGATTTTTTTTTTTAAAATTTTTTTTTTTCTTCCCTGTATTACAGTGCTTTTGTTCCTTTGGATATTCCCAACAAGAAGAATTCCACAGAGTGGGAGAAAGTGAAGCTCCTGTTTGAAGAATTTGGAAGTAGTCGTAAGTTTGAGATTTGTTCTGAGCTTTGCATGAGTTGCTACTCTACTAACCTCTGCCACTTGTTCATTGACTGAACAAGATAATTAACTTCCTTGGTGGCAGTTTTCTAACTTTTTTCTGACTGCTTAAATACAGTAAGTCTTTACAATAGCACTGTTCTTCCTGTACAGAGAAGAACAAAAATTAGAGCTATTTTGAAAGTAGATGCTGCCAGCATCTCCTCTCTGTACTTTAAATACGAGTTGCCATTTGACAGCAAGGACTCCAGTGTTGTCTGCTAATGCTTATGGTGGGGAGAGTCTTCACTTAACTCTTAAATGCTACTTGGATGCTGAAGTTCACTGACTTTCAGGGTATGGTGAGTGTGTATCATGTATCATGACAGTCTTCAGTCATTTACTTAATAAAATGCAGTACTGCTGTTCACTGTACAAAAGATGAATGATTACATCTGTTTAGACAGGAAAGTCCTGTGGGTGTTGCAGCTTTTTCTCTTTGCTGTTATAGTACTGACCTCTTCTAAAATTGTTGTTTGAATTTGTTACACTTTACACTAGGGCTGTAAAGAGCTGTTGACAAGGCCAAACTCCATGGAATAGTATTTAACACTTAGGTGATATAGTTCATGTGCTTAGCCAGGATATGTTTTCAGGGTAAAGGTGTGAAGGAAGTGTTTTATAGGTGAGCTAAGACAGACTTGATGTCATTTTTCAAATGTGTTAAAAAAAGTGTAACTAAAAATTGTCTAACAAACATTCATCTCAATGCATAAGTACTCCATTATTTTGTGCTTCATTCTTGATATGCATCAGAGTATTGGCTTCTGTGTGAATGCTTTAGGATATAATCATTCAAGTCATATTCTGCATTATTGTAGGAATTTTGTCCTGACTAAAAGTTCCCTGCAATGACATAGACCAAACACTGACATATCTAGCTAATCCCTTCAGGGCCCATTAATTTCGTATGTACAGTTTGCCTAAGTATTCTCTAACCTGATCCTCTTCCATCAAGGGTACATATTCATCCTAGCTTTTTTCACTGACCTCCCTGGCTTGGATTTCCTGAAGTCTGGTCTTGTTAGTATAAAACTGAGGCAAAGGAGGCATTCAGTACCTCAGGCTTGTCATGCAAAAGTCCTGTCTTGCCAGGTCCCCTGCTCCACTCAGCAACAGGCTCCTATTTTGCCTCTTCTTCCTCTTGCCACTTAAATACTCAAAGCCCTGCTTGTTTGCTTTGACGTCCTTGCAGAGCCTTAATCATAATATGCTCTGTGCTGTAATCTGTGCTTGTAAGCATAGGAGATAGAGGACAAATCCATGGCTTATTGAATATTTTGGCTGGCTGCTTGTTGGTGTTTCTCTTGCTTTGCAAGATTATAACAGCACAGGAAAAACTGCTTCTTAAACTGTTTATGTAGGTTGTGATAATGGTTGAGTTGAGATGTAAGCTAATTTTTCCAGGTGACCTTGATAGGTCTGCGACAAAGTATTTGGCTCTGTCTTTGCTATGAAATACAGTATAGCCAGTGTTTATTTCTGGGAAAGTAAAATGATTAAGATGCTGGGTTGGGATGGGGAAGTCTGATTTTGTTTTCTAGCAGCATTCTTTTGTGACTTGTAATTTCATAGGATAATTCAGATTGAAGAGACCACATCTATTCAAATCTGCACCAAGAAGGAAGCTGTAAGATCAGACCAGGTTGCTCAGGGCTTTATCACCTAGCTCTTCAAACCCCCCTGAATTTGGAGACTGAAGTCATGGTAGAAAAACCTCTCCTCTTACCTCTTGTGGATATACTTCTATTGCCCATTGTCTCACACTTGACAGCTAGGTGCCACTGAAGATTCTGGCCTCCACCTCTCTGCTAAGCAGGCAGGCTGTATTGAGTGTCTCCAAACCTGTCTCTGTTCCAGGCCAAACAAGGCTCACTCCCTCAGCTTCTCTGTGCAGCATGTGCTCCAACTTCTAACCAACATAGTTCTTCCCTCAACTTGCTCAGATTTATCAGTCTTAACATGTTAGCAGGGGCCTCAGAACTGGTTGCACTATATGGTCCCTTCCTTTAATAGGTGGGCATGCTGCTGGGATGCTATGGGATTTCTATGCTGGCAGGGCATGCTGCTGGTTTATCTTTGGATTGCTGTCTCCCAAGACCCCCACACAGTGGGGTCCTTGTATTTTCATAGAGCTACTCCACAAACAGCAACTCTCTGCAAAAGGTTCTTTTGTGTTCTGAGTGCCGGAGAAGTAAGGATGAAATGCTTGCCCATTTTCTTTAATTGTACCTGTTTTCCTGTTTTTATATTAGTTTACCCTTTTCCTTTGCCTGTCTGTAGTGGTCTAAGAAGTACAACGATCTTGAGACACTGAACAAACATCCAATCATCTCTTGGTAGTTGGCTGTGGGGTTATGAAAGGAATGCAAGCTCATTCACTGAGGCAAAGCCTGATAATATACTTCTGGTATACAATTACCAATTTTTCAGCCAGTTAGTTTCTTAATGTTCCATTGAGCACAATTCAGACTCTTAAAATGGGTATTAAATGTTGATTTCAAATACTTGTATGGGAGGATCATCCAATACAATGTGTAAGTAAGTACCTTGTGTGATATGTTACAAATAGAGGTCACTCGTGGGCTTTTTTTTCCCTAAACTTCAGGAACAACTCAAATTTTGGTAGATAGTGAAGGAAAAATAGCGTTAGGTTTATTTCTGTGGGTTTTGGGGGCTTTATATTTGGCTTTTTAAATAAGTTTTCAACATAACTGTAGTATTTGAAACATAGGAACATATAGATTTTAGCTCTGGGGAAGTTGTTTGATATTTAACAAAAATAGTAAAGGAGAGATTTGAGCAGTGAAGTTGGATTTGGTTATGCTATTCTGTTGGTTTTTGGTGGTTTTGAAAGAAGGTCTGTAGGATTGGTCAGAAGAGGGGTGCAGCTTCTCATATACAAATGTTAGGATTTCTCAGTTTGCAACTGCATAGTGCTGTATTCAGTAAATATGAATGGAAACAGGCTAGTATATCTGTGTGAGTAGAGAGGAGGACATGGGGAAGAACAGTAAACTCTGGTTATGACTGAGCACAAACGTGAGAAATTGTTTGCTGAGGTTAATTTCTGCAATTTACTATTTTATTTACAGCAGTTTCAATGTTATTAAGTAACCAAAACCACTTGTGATGTCTTGTGTGGTGAGGTTAGGAACAGACCTGTTCTGAATAATTATGCAGGAGGTTTTAGGGAGTTAAATGCCTTTTTGTTTTGTCACTCTTGTTTTCTACTATCTCCTTTAATTACTAGAGTTATAAGGCCACAGTAACTCTATAGTTCCCTGAATTTTTTCCCATTTGTTGGTCTGTATATACATTGTGTGAAGCAGAGGATTTTTTTGGTAGGTTGAAGGATCCATGCTTGTCTGAGTCTGGATAATGCTTTTAGTAGGGAAAATCAGGTGATAGCAAACAAAACTGAGTGAGCCAAACTGCACATGAAAGTTGTGCAAGTTACCACAGCACCCTGGAGAGGCCAGAAATAAGGCTTGAAGAGGTGTTAGACAGCTATGAGGAGCAAGTTCCTTAGTGGCTTTTCAACCATTTAGGTGAATGCAACTTCTGTGAGCTTGTAAGAAAGACAAGAGTCTGTCCTGGGTCCTGCAATTTCAGATAAAGATCTGCTGTGGTCGAAAAGCTCTTCTAGGTAAATTTTTCATCTGAGTTATGACTGGTAACATGTCTCTTATCTTTTTCTTCTTTCTCATGAACTTAAATATCTTCTGGAAACTACTTTAGGAAAAAGTGTTTTTATACATCTACTGTATTTTCATCTACTGTATTGCTGTATTTTGGTTTTTTTTTTTTTTTCAGATGGCTTGACTGCACTTTCGTTTTCCATTAGTTCCTTGACTGTGATTGGAATGTTGGCAGCTATCACTTACACAGTAAGTTATTATGCAAAGTTTTCAGATTTTTACCTTCATGATACTTGCAGTTATCACTGGCTGTATCTGTATGGGAAACTTGTCATCCTGAAAAGATTCAGCAGTGTCTTCAGCTCTGGATTTTCATGGTTTGAAACATTAATTCTAAGCTCTAACTTCTTGCTGCAAGTCTGCCCACTGTTTTACTACTGAGCACAGATCAGACTTAATTTTGATGTGTTTTATGCAAGGGAATGTCACATATCACTTGTAACACGGTCACTGACTTTTCTTGCTCTCAAGGCTTTTTCTTCACCCTGATGTAGAGAATTAAATCTTGCACTTTTTTGTTCATTGAACTGTGGCATAACCTAGAGTTGATATGGAGCTGAAGTACTGCAGTTCAGAGAGGGATTTGGAAGAGTTCATTCTATAACCAATTTTAAATGGTATGATTAAGGTTATGTTAGTTCAACTGCTTGACTCTTGCTTTTATGTACAAAGAAAAGGTGTTCAAATGTTGGCCAAAGCTAGTAAGTTAAATGTTTATATGGTCATTTGCTTTCCCAGTCAGTTCTGCTTACTCATTCAGTGACTAATCAGTGTTTGTAATGCTACATATTTTAATTTATCATCAAAGTAAAATTCTGCTGCAAAGAAGCAGCTTAAAAGCTCAAGATAACTGACTGATAACAGGCAAAGCTTTAAAGTTTCTCAGAAATTACTGTTTTTCTGACAGGTTTTAATCTTTATGTCCTTGCTAATATGATGTTTTCTTCCATTAGAACCTGGTTGTAACATAGTTGTTCCCATGTAGCTTTGCTAGTGAATTCTGAATGCCTCTGTAGCAATAGCTTATGCAGTAAATTGTTGTTGAAGCATTGGCACCCAAGGAGGTGTCTGTTTCAGGCAAATTCTAAATGTATAAAACTTGAACGAGGATTTAAGAAAGAGGGCAGGGGGTAAGATGCTTATGGAATAGTACCTTGAGACTCTTAAATGAGTAACAAGTATAGCTAATGATTTTCTGTCTCTCCAGCTGGTGTAAGTTACAGTAGAATTATAGAAGGCTGTTCAGTGCAGGTTCACAGATGTGTCAGAGCCCTGACAACTTGGTGGCCATCAGGGTCTGTGCAGTAGGTAGGAGTGCAATTGGGTGGATCAGCTAGTGGGTATCTTAGGTGAGATGAATTGCTCTCAGCTCCATTGACTAAGTGCTTTAACCTGACCAAGATGGTCAATTTTATTACTTTAAGCCTTTTCTTAAAGTGACATGGGTCATTAAATTATTTAGGCTATTTTGCTGACATCTAGAGCATGTGATGGTCAAAAAAAAATCTAGACCTCCACTTAGCCTGTAATAACATGCCAGATTTTAATTAGTTTCCCTTAATTATAGAAGAGAAGATTAATTTCTTGTTCAACTGCACTACATTGCTGAAGAGTACATATAATGTTATTTTAGCCATAAGGCTAATGAAAGAAAAAACTCATTAGCTGAAAGAATATCATCAATGTTTTGTTCAAACAGCCAAGTTTGGTTTTTAGAACTGTTAGTGAACATCTAAAATGTGAGATTGTGAAAATAAAGCAACTTTATTACTGACTGAAATGTAAGTAATTTACAACAAAAACCTTAGCAGATGTGAGACTTTGTGATATGGTTTAGTGGGCATGGTGGTATTGTGTCATGGGGAAGTTGGGCTTGATGATTTTGGAGGTCTTTTCCAACTTTAATGATTATATGATCTGTGGAATTTTTTCAATTTGCTGCTAATATTTCCTACTTCCAATGTTACTACCTACTGATTTTTGAACCCAGATTGATTGTAGGCACCATTCAGCTGAGTATCACAGTATGCTTTTGTCCTCAACACTTAACTAAACCTGGAAATATGTGGAATGTGGAAATCCATGTTCAATAACTTCAGTGTTTTGTGTTGTCTGTGTTTTCTCAGATGAAGGTAATACTATATCTTCAGTATCGTTGGTTTAGTGTCAATGCATTTACAACTTATACTAATACTGAGTGATAAATGAGGTGAAACATCAAGCATGAGAGCTAATTCTTATCTGAATCCCTTAATTACTAAGATTTTTGGGCTAATTTGTTGCTTTGTAAACTTCAACTGAGCTGTCTATGCAAATGTCTGGAGTGTGAAATTGATTTCCTTTATTTTTAACTGTTGTATTTCATCCTTCTGGAACTATCTGTTCTGTTTTACAGTAGGTGTTAAGGGAGTGTGGGAGACATGGAAGAGCTATTTTACAGAAGTTTTGGGCATGAGCTCACACAGGAGTGGGTTGTTATCTACCTCTGATGTGAGTTTTTTGTCATTGTTTGCAGGCAGTTCTAGACTCTTATGCTGAAACAGTGAGCTGGCTTTGATATATGGGTGCAGTGAGGTACAAATGTGTCACAGACAGTGAAAAAACACCTATTGGAAGCACTGTTCTCAAAGTTGGAACAGTGTTTTCTTTATGCTCTAGAGCTTTCATAGCACCTTTCCCACCAGCAGTGATGGTCAGGGTTCCATATTTAAGCTATTTTCACCTGCAACAACATAGGCAGAGCTTGTCCCAATGGTATGACCTAATGCAAAACTTGCTTCAGTAATGAAAAGTTTCTGGCCTGTTGTCCTTCTCTAAACTCAGGGAGAGGTTGGCTCAGTGTAGTCTGTCTTTACCAGTTTGGATTACTCCACTTGTTCTACTTCAGAGGAGGAGAACACGATTCTGGAAGGAGTAACCGTTTTCTCTTGGTAGTTTCCCATGTCTTTGTGTTGTGGGGTGATTTGTTTGCTGTATTAGCCTTTTATTAAAAAAAAATCACCTCTAGATGAGACATGCTTCAGTGCACAGACAAGTCTGTAGGGCATTATTTGTAATGATTGCTGTATTTTGGACATCTCACAAGTAAGTGGTTAGGCTCTTGTGTTTTCCAGGCAGCCTTCTGCTGCCTATCAAATTGTTTATCCCAGTTTGCAAAAGTGGGAGATGTTTGTGCTTAGTCATCAAACAACTCTTCGATTGCTGGTGTTTGTTGTTGTTGTTTTTAAGCACATTGTTATGTAAGAGTGAACACAAGAACAAAGAATTTCAGAGTTTTCCACAAGTGCTTAGTAGATGATGGAAAAAAGAATAGATGAGGGGATACCGTGTGTGGTACGAGTTCCTGTGTCTCTGGATGGAGGTGATCTCAGATCTGTGCTTTACACAATGAAGAGCTGAGGACTTGTAGTATAGACATAGGGAAAATTCAAAAATTTTAGTTGACTTTTGAATATCCTCAGCCTGTTTCAGTGCCAGAGTTTCTATTGTATTGTTAAAGAGAAGCTAAGAACAGGTATATCTGGTCTTGCATGTACTCGTTTACAGTAAAGAAAAAAATCTATGTTAAATGCTTATCTAATGAAGGTTCTATTGTAATAAGTAGTATGTTAGCAAATCCCTTCATATCTAATTAAAAATGGCTTTACATTATATGCCTACTATATAACACAAAACACTAAAAATAAATAGGAATGCTGTGACTGCAGTTGACTGATTTAATCTTAAAATGTTATTTATGGAAGAAACCATGAAAGAGATAAATGAAGTGATTTTACTCAAGTCCCTGGCAGTGCAATTTATCCATTCTACAATTAGTTAAGTGTATGTTAACAGTACTGCTTTGTGTGGCCTTCAGCATGAAGAATTAGATTATGGCTGCTCTAAAATTGAATTTCTGTGCTGTGGTAATATACAATACTGTGAAAAGTTTGGGGGGGGGAAGGCTTTGGCACTGTCAGCAAGTAGCCTTGAATTTGAGTAGAAATAGAGAGCAAAAGCTCACTTCAGCATGTGTGTGCTCTTAGGCTTTTTTTTATGAAAGCAAATCCTCCTGCTTCCACAGGAGTAGGGATACAGCAGGGTGATGTTATTGAGATTGTAATTTGCTGCAGTTTAAATTATGGAACTAACAAATTTACCCCAAGGACCAATGTAGTTAAAACCTATTTTTTAAGGATCAATCCAATGTTTGGGGCGTCTCAAGGCCCCGATTGGTTTAATATATTACTCTGCATTAACAGCTCACCATGTATTTCAACGAAGAACAGAGTTCTTAACAGATCATAGTGTGTTGTGGCATTTGGGGCTGAAGGTGACAATTGAGAGACAACACAAATAGAAGTATTGTGCTGGACTGGAGTTGTGGATAACTGAGCACTTGCGTCACTGACTGATACACATGTAGGTAATGCTACAGTTCAGTGGAGTTGTTGTTAGATTGCTGGGTTCCATTTTCTCTGGCTTCAAACATCAAAGTCTCAGTACACTTGATCTAGTGATGCATACGAGAAGAGCTTTTCTTGCCATTTGAGACAAAATGCAGAGTTTTGATTTGAGTTGTGGACTTTTCTCCAGCATCTGAATGGGGTAAGATGAAATACACTTATCTGCTATTAAAACTGAAATTGCCGAAGATATAAAACCTCTTTAGTATGAAAAGTTCTGATCTCCTCAATTTGTGAAATACTAGTTAAAAGCTTTGGGAGGTATTAGTAATAAATACTGATCCTGAAAGCTTCTCATCCCTTAGGGTAGATCACTGGGGACGGTGTTAGCATGGAAATTACCATCTTAAGGAGTGAATGCAAAAGTTGCTTTGCCAAGAAAAGGCCAGTGAGAAAACTCACAACTACTTTCATTAATAACTTAATATAGAAGATTATGTATGTTTTTGGTACCTACTAAAAAGCAATAATTACTGTAAGAATTAGATTTTGATTCAAGTTCCATGCTTACTAGGAAATACCTTCAGGAGTCAAGAGCTAGTATTTGAATAAAGGAGTAAATCTAATCTTTTATGGTATTTCTTAACACCATGTCATTCAAATGAGAAGATGAGATGCAGGGAAGATGATTAAGGAATAAAAGGAGTATTTAGAGGATTTTAATTCCACACTTAAATGGAACATAAATTGGTTTGTTCTGTTTCGTTTTCCATGTGATGATATTTGTGACAGTCCTGCAAATGT